TTCTGCGTCCATTCTCCTTTCACAACCGCCAGGGTGCTCGGTAACACTCTTTCTTCCCATTGACATAGCCTTAAATGAGTGCTTCATCTGATGAAACACTGGATTATGATGAGCTTAATCGCGAGTACGTCGTCAAAAATCTCACAACCTTCTCTCGCTCATCATATGCTTTAGATTAGTCTACTTCTACTGCACGCTATCGTCAGGAGGTGAGCTCGCACACTTATGGACAAATGGACATACTCACAGCATTCGAAACTGGCCTGGGTTCTTGAACGTAGTGATTCTCATCTTCGATCAGTTCATCACCATCACGGACGAGATTAACCATATATGGAGGCGTAGATTTACAGGGGCGACAGTGTTGTACTTTCTGAACCGATATGCAACCCTCCTGAAAACTCTGATGCTAATGGCAATAACTTGGGCTAAGTCCGAGGAGGTGCGTAGTCACTTTAAGTCCTTGGAACCGCGCGCTGATCACACGCAATAGACGTACGTTGTATCGCCATCCATATCCACCACAATACTGACATAGTGTTTAGGTGCAGAGTAGGAGAGCTGTGGTACAACATTTTCGATCTCACCGCGCTCTATGTCTTCGCAGGTAGCTGTCACTCCAGCTGATCGTTGTCCAACCAACATCCTGACTCAGATATAATTGCCAGCTTTCAGCGCATTTCGAGTATGGGCTATCTGGGGACGTGAGATACGGCCTTTCCTGGTCGTGCTTGCGTTCGCACTGGTCACTCCATGCCTCAATACTGCAAGTATAATCTATATCTTAAGCCTCAGGTTTACCTAACGCGCACCGTCTAGTATCGAGTTAGCGTCGAATCAACCCTGCCTACTCTTAGTCCCCTTCCACCTCCATTCGGCGGCTGTCAATACGACTGGGGAATGCCTTTATCGTTGTATACCAGGTTCGTCTCGCTCGCACTCTTGCGCCCAGCCTAAATTGACGATATATTTGAAGATGTAAGTTGGTTGCTCCTCGATGCGTAAGACATCTAATTGTCTTTAGTTGCCGATATCGTTAGGGGTATCGCAATTGCCACGGATGCATTAGTGCTCATCATGACTTGGATGAGGACGCACGATATCTATCGACAAGCCATTAGGCTCGATACCAAGCCCTCTGTTTCGACCTTGCTCATACGAGATGGTGAGTAACGTCGAAGTCGTGGTTTGTACACACTCACTAGATAACTACTACTACAGGGTCTTTGTATTTTGGGTAAGGAGACCGAAAGTCCTTTACAGTTGATTTTCTCACGGCGCACATATTAGAGTCCTCCTGATTTTCAACATCGTAGATGTCATACTTAATCACACGGACGAGGTACAGCCCTATTCATGCGATAACCCATCCGTTGATCTGACGCACAGCAGGGCTTTAACCCGGTCAATTTATACAGCGACGTGTGAGTTGCGTTTTTGACATCTAGCTGTGTGTCTCATGATAATCCACAGGGTGAACAGTATCCTTATATCCCGTTTCATGCTCAACCTCCGCGTCGTACACTCCTGCGAAGCTGACGACGGCGATACCACGTTCACGCAAGGCCACATTGCCTTTGTGCAGACACGTATTTTGGGAGACTTAGCAGCATCTATCGACTATAGCAGCAGTTCCTCATCGGACTTATCCTCCGAGCTTCCTGACGTCTTGGACGACGATTCAATTACTGAGCCATCTGCAGTCCTGCCGCCAGATCCAGACGCACGGACTTTGTGAGCCGTTATTCTCAATCTCGTCCTCTCAAAAGTTCATTGTCTTTTCAGCCTCGAATACCCATAAATCTGCCGTAGAGAGTAGAATGTCATTTGATGTTGTTTGATATGTTTCACAGAGATCAATATACTACGCATTTTCTCGCACTCTCAGCGCCGGCTTAAGTGGCTGCGTTGCTTTGAACTAGGTCGACATGATGAAAGCTCCTGAGATGGTCCTACTAGCTATCATACATTTACATCATAAACCGAGCTCAACAACAAGACTAAACTCTGTTTCTATCCATGTCCACGATCTCCTGTCGACATCCACGTCAAATTATAGCAGAGGGAAAGAAATAGAGGCCGTTGGGTCGCACCTATCGGTTTCAGGAGACGGGGCACTATTCTTCCGTTTCGTAGCGGCGGATGATATCCCCAACATCAGATGAACGTGGTTTAAACAAGCACCGAAAAGGAGCCGGGTGACTGCAAATCGTGATGAGCACAATGAATGCTGTAAGTCGGTAGGGAGACTCACACGGCGACACCATCACCGATAAGAACGCTCGATGGCAGGATAGGTTTTCCTTCGTCGTCCACTGCGGGATTGATATCAAATGCCCAAAGTAGTGTACAAATATTCGAAATCAGCACTTGCATAGCCAAATCTTTACCAACGCAGATTCTGTTAGATGAATAAGTACAGGGCCCAACTACGGGGGAAATGGCGTACTTAACCTTCTACCGGAGCCGAAACTCAGGTGGCCTTGCCCGTGCGTGTCAGGGATTAGATGGTTTATCCGCCCTGTCTCATCCAGGTATCGCTCAGGGCGGAATATATCAGGTTGTGGGAAGTATCGTTCATCTCTGTTCACGGCCCTGCATCAACAGTAAGACACTGAGGTACGTGTTGAATTGAATACTCACCAAGTATTTGACATCACGATCGTGCCTTTGATCGGTCAGATACGCGCTGTAACGATAAATTGGAAGTTACCTTTCGGAATGAGATATCCCTTGTATACATCGTCCTGAGCAATCCATCCTCTTCAGATGAGCCAAATATCATATAAAACACGACGATTCACATGTGTAGCAGCTCTGGGAATTGAAAGAGGAGCTATAGGTCGCCAGCGTAGAGTTTCCATTGCCATCGCCTTGATATACGGCAATTTATCGACATCGATGGAGCTAGGAGGGTGGTAGCGTCCAACCGCCGCATCTATCTCTTCTTGCGCACGCTGCATAGCGTGAGGATGCAGGACCATCGCTAAGACAAACACTGACAGGGTGGACGCTGTCTGGAATGCATATCAGCGACCGTTGATACAACTCATGCATTCGTCACAGAACAAAGACTTACTGTTTCTACCCCAGCTGCACTGTAAGAACCACCGTCATGAGTTTTGAGTTTGTGATGTGATGTAAAGTGTTTTATGACTTACAACATAATGCCAGCTAGCCAGGATATTTCTTCGATGCTCATATCGGATCTCATGTCGTTTTCTAGGAGGGTGGCGGCGAAACATGGATCGCAGCTGCCAGCACGCTGGAGTAAGAAATTAGTCAACGAGCGACAAGCCAACCAGGTTCCACACGACATGCGGAACATGATAGACGTACCATATTCTGCTCGACTTCCCGGACAAGGTCGTTGAGGAAAACAGTGTTCCGTTCGAACCATTGCTGGCCGTCTCGTTTCCACTGAGCCATCCACGAGGGTAAATGAAACATCCAAGGTAGTATATCCACCAGATAATTCCCAGGCCGAGCAGCGTACTGAATGCTGTCTGCGATACCTTGCATCCGTTTTTGGATGATCCCAGCATTCGCATCAACTATGCGCTTTCCGTAAACCGATCCAAGCGTTATGGATGCGACAGAAGACTCTATGTGACGCATCCAGTTGTCTGGATCGTCGAAGATGCGGCTCGCCAGCAAAGCGGAGCTTTTTCCTTGCAGATACTGGTGAGACGCGATGTTGCGGGGACAGAATCCTTCGTGTGCAGCACGCCGATGTCGTCGCCATCTGACAACGGCCATAAGCATCAATCAAGACAGATTGTAAAGAGCCAACCAACTAAACCAAACTTACACATCGTTGTAAGTCACGAATGGAAATGCAACTCCACGCGTCATGATTTCGCTAATCATGATAAGACGTGGCCGCCCGCTGTATATATTGGAGCGATGGTCTAGTAATCGTCAGAAAAGTATCAGTAGGCTGACACGCGAACAAGAACTCGTGAAATACTGACCGATGAACTCTGTGATCGTTTCCAGATCGTTGAGGACGATGACCGGTTGGCCAGCAAGGTCAAGAGAAAAAATAGGCCCTAAATAGCGGATCAAACGAGGTCGATCTTGCCAGAGAGACAGCTGAGACCGCACCATAGGACTCCTTCCACTGCATGAACTGGATCCAAGGCGAACCTCGCAGTTGAAGGATATTGCCGATGAAGGGTAGTCCTGGCGGGCCTGGGGGCATCCGCTTCTGCATGCTAAGTCGTTTGAAGACATAAATCAAGAACCTGAGCAGAACCAAGAGGCTCAGCGCAAAAAATGTATTCACTAGAGATGTTTGCATGAGGAGAATATGCTGGGTTACACGGACCTTGTTTGAGAACCTCAGAGCGTGATGAGCGTTTTATAGCTTCGTTGGAGTCAAGAGTCCCTATCGGAATTGTATCCCGAGTTTGAGACTTGCGTGGCACATGGCTGCATTTTCGACAGACTGAAGTTGCCACGTCCCGTCGCCGCTGTCATGAAACCGAGAGTCTCTGTGCACATGAAGCCGACTTAAAGGAATCGTCAGATTCGATACAGCAAACAGTGTTCCTCACCGGAACGATCATGTCACTTCGTGAAATATACCGGACTTTTATCGAGGACATATGCATAGAAGGAGAGCTTGTGCATTGGATATCTGGCATCGAAGCCTTCGTCAGGGAAGCGTACAATGTCATCTTACGTCAGACCGTGAGAAAGAAAGGTAAAACTTTCGCATATGGCGGGAACCAGTAGTTTCCAACCCCTGCGAATGCTGGCAAGCAGATCAAGGCAAGAGACAAAGTCAAGAAAATATTAAGCGCTGAGTATGGACCGGCTCAGCCTTGCCTTGAAAGACCAGACACTAGCCACACTTGTGTTGTAGTTCAAACATATCGGATGCGCTATTTTTACTTCTTAGTAGGTATGTAGTATCTACTATCTACCCGGAAATTGAAAACATCTATGTTACGTAGGTGGATGTAAAAAGAAATGACTTCATGTGCATGGATGCATGCCAAGAGGGTGGCTTGAACACCAGACCTGTAGAACCTCAGTCTATCGCTCTCTCAGCTGAGCTATCTCGGCGCATTTCGTACGATACGGATGGCGTCTCTCGTTCGTGATCAAGCGCAACCGCAGCCAAGAGCTTGAAGAATTCTATGAGCATGATTGCATTGCATTGAAACGAGTATATGTGCTCTACAATCGGTATCGAAACGATTCCCTGAAACAGAAGTGGCATACAACAGACATGAGAAGATACAAGAAAGTCCAGTCGTGCGCAAAACCTTGAGTACAACTATATCACACTGAAAGCTACAAAAGAAGGAACACCAAGCAGAGCATGAAATAAACATGGGGCGCGATGTCCAGCATGCGCTTCTAGATTAGCTTACAGGCTTGCGACAAAGAGGGCACGTAGCGTCCTGGCGCAACCATACTTTCAGGCAATACTCATGGAAGCTGTAAACATAGGTAGTAATGTGAGCTAATGGTCTACGTTCTTGATAAAGACTACTTACACATGGTCACAGTTCATCCCGTAGACTGCAAGTTCGTCTTCTTTGAATTGACAGAAGCAGATGCGGCATTTATCCACCTCGCGACCCATGAGGATGAGCTTGACTTTGACGCGATTATCTCCTCGTTCGACACGTCCAACAGTGGATAACCGCTGTCCGGGGACGTCCGCATAAGAGGGCTCGGCATATAAAGGGCTTGGAGGCTCAGTGTAAGTTTCCTGCACATGATCCGATCAATGGACGTATCCTGTCCTCGAACGGGTTGAGACGCACCTCGTATATGTGTCCCTTGTGCTCGTCCTCGACGAGTTGCGACGCTACATGATCTAGTTCAGCATACGCATGATGCGGCGCTCCGTAATCAGGCAGCTCTGGTGGCGCGATAGTAACAATTGCAGGCGCGGCCATACGTGGGGATGGCTGAGAAGGCGGGTGTGGTAGTGGTCGGCCAGGATAGTGATGATGCGTTGGCGTCGTCGGGGTTCGGGGTGGAGACTCCTGTACAGGGGAAGACCCGATAAAGGGCGACGTGGACCGAGCTCGGGGGGACGAAGGTGACGGACGGCGAGTATCCGTCACTCTTGGCACAACGTGCTTTCCGTCACGGATATATGTAGGCGTGACGGGTGAAACCGAGTTTTCTTCAGGCGACGAGGACGTCGCGCCCTCTAGGTCATCGTCTAGATCCTCGTCAGAAAGAATATAAATTCTAGGACTTGCATGGCGCGACGCTGGTGGGACCGATAGAGCTGGAAGTGTCGGTGAACGTGTCCGCGCTGGAGACTGGCGCGAACGATCGAGATTCGTGGGTGCGAATGCTTGGATAGGAGTGATCTGCGTCGTGGGGCTGTCGGCCCGCAGCTCAGGCCGCGGCACAGCATGACGGCCTTCAGAACGCGATCGTTGTCGCGGACTTAAGGGAGCGACAGTCAATGCTGTGTTAGTCGTGTCTGGATGAGAAGTTCCTTTAGCTACCATGCTTGGCAGTGACACGCTTGAAGAGGCAGTGGCTTCCCCTAGGGCTGAGGAGAGTAGTGGCGACACATGCTTCATTTTCGGCTTGTACGGTTCAGTCCTTTGGCCGAGCCGCGGGGATGCTTGAGGCGTCTCTGGCAGATTTAAGCTACTGTGATTCGATAGTAAGTTCGAAGTACTGCCAGAAAATAGCGGTTGTAGCATCGGTGCTGGGCTGTGTCGTACTGGGCGCTCAAGGAATGCAGGAACAGGTGACACCCTTGAATGAGGCGGAGGGTCGACGCGCGGGTTGCCTGCAGGCGGCGCCTCTGTTCTATGCACTATCGCCTCATTCCCAGTGCGACCGGACCCTGAATCGGAATCGGAGGGCAGTGAAGAATCATCCAAGACTTCCCATGACTCTCCTACATCGCCGTCTGGCTGCTCTTCGCGCTCCTTTCCCTTGGAAGCAAATAATTTCTTAACGGAAAAGCTGTCCTTGCGCTTGTGGGGAGGGGTTAACGACAAGGATTTGCTTGCGGGGGTCGGATTCGTGAGACCGAGTGTCAGGGTACTAGCCCATGGCGAAGGCCGACCTGTGAGCGGCGAGCGTGGGCTCATGACCGGTGACGAGGGCCCCGCTCTGTCGGATGCGACCATAGGCGCGAACAGCTTCTTCCACGTGAAGCGCCCACCACGCGGCGACATGGGTGGTGAGTTGTCAATGTCCCCGGATCCAGGCGAGTATCTCGTAGAAAAATGTGCAGCATCGCATTGGCTAGGCTTGGGCCTCCCACATTGTGAGCAGTGGTGGGGTGGTTGTGGGCATGGCGCGTGTGAGCCGGCTGTGATGTCTTCACCGCCACGGTGAGGCGATGACGACGAAGGGCCGGTCGTAGAGTCGTTATGCTGCTGTCTCTTCAAGTCCCGTTGTATCCGGACTTTCAGAGGGAGGCCCCGTCTTCTGTCGGCCTGCCACTCTTGAGATAGTCCTAAGCGCCTGTCCGCCTCGTCTTGCGACTGGTTGAGGTCAACGACCTCAATGCTTGATGAGTCAGAGGCATTATCAGAGTTTTCGGAAGGTGTAATAGTTTGTTGAGACGAAGGTGTAAGAGGAGACGGACTATGAGAGGGAATCTGGACGGCTGACTCCGCAGTATCCGGGAGGATGTTGAGTGTGGGGCCTGGAGAGACAACTGCGGGCGAGGTGGTAGCAGGGGATGACGTCGTCGCGACTGCCTCAGGAAACCTCTCCGTGTTAGTGAGCGGCGAAGATATCTTAACGGGTTTCTTTGCTGTAGAGACAACATTGAAAGGAGGAGGGGACCTCTCTGAGATAGCCTCTTGGAACGATGGAGGAGGTTCATCAGGTATCATGGTGTCTAGAGAAAGACCGAGTCAATAGGTCATTCGCAAGCGATAATGACGAGCTGCTTACCTCTCGAAAACGGAACCATGGTCTGCGCTGCTGGAGGTCTAGGTGTTCGCTGCTGAGGTTTTCTGCTTCTCGGTGACGTGGGGACGGCAATGTTGAAGCGAGGTTCTTCTAGCTCCCTTCGCCTGTCCTCTCTTATCCTCCCTTGCATTTTAGCTTTTGCGCTTTTGCGAGGTCGGCCCCCATTCTGAGCTACCCCTTGGGGCTGGGTGACGAGAGGGGGTAAGAAAGGAGTGATATGGGACGGATCTCCGTGTCCACGTCCTGGAGATGGCTGCTGCTGCGAGCTATTCATCGTGGTAGTCGATGAGAAAGATGCATTGCGAGCATGCCCTCCACCGGAGTCTCGGGAAGGGCCAGTAGAGCGCGCGGCCTCCACGAGGCAGGAAAATATCGATTATCTGTATATTCGGGGGTGCGTTAGTCTCGATCTGCGTGATGCAGGAAGGAGCTTGCGTTCAGCACGCTTGAACACGCTGCCTCGATTGCTGCATACTCTAGTCTGATGGAATGGACACTAACCTGCATCCAGGTGCATGCGAGTCGTTAACCGACGCGGGCTCCCTTGGTATGCTAGAAGATGAAGGACTAGAGTCAATATTCAACGTTCCTTGTTCACCATTATTTACCGTATCCCCGCTTTCATCTGCCTGCAAACAAGGATTCGAATCTGAAGCTGTGGAATATGCTGTGACGGATATTGGATGTGGGAAGCGGTTCGGGGTAACGGAGAACATATTATGGGCGCCAATAAATTTCGCACGCTTCGACCACGCGACCGCGTCGTGCGCGCTCGACGCGCCTTTACAACCTTCGCCACCTGCCTGCTCGACTACCTACTCCCTTTGCTCAATTTACTCCATTATATCACGAGTTATTCATGAAACATGCCAGCTAGACGAGCTTTTACTTTGGAGGATCTCTCCGTCAACATCCCAAAGATTTTCGAACAAGTACAGAATACTTCGGCAAACCACCAAAAGAACTATGTGGCTCTATACAAACTACACCTGGAAGCAGCGAAGGAGGTTCAGAGTGTGCAGAACGGCGCGAGCATCAAACTTGTCGGCGAAAGGGCATTCGAAGACACGTTCATCACGATGCTCAGTCGCGCATTACCGATCAAGAAGGGAGCAGGAGTCGCAGACAGGATCGTCAGATTTGTCGGGGGATACGTCAGATTCATTAATGAAAAAGGTGAATTATCTACGTACACTTATGACTAGCCTTGCTGACGTCTGCAGCCACTGAGGAGCGCCAGAAGAAAACAGCAGACGGCGAAGACGGCGAAGACGAAGAGGACGACCCAGCAGCGCGTTTTGTGACGCGTCTTCTACGCTTCTTACACAAGGGATGTATGGCAAAGGACAAGACTGTTCGTTATCGCGTCGTGCAGTGCATCTCTGAGATGATTGCTCACCTTGGGGAACTTGAGTCTGTGCTTACTGCTTTCGCGTGTAGACGTTGACTAACATGCGTTGCTCTCCCTGTTCTAGCGAGGACGCATATACGGCCCTTCGAGAAGTGCTCCTTGAAAGATTGGGCGATAAAGAGCCGTTAGTCCGTGTCCAAGCTGTGATCGCACTTTCGAAACTTTGTGGTTCTGAAGATCCAGACGACGATGTCAACATCACCGACATGCTTGTTGAGACGATGACGTACGATGCATCCGCGTAAGTTGAACCTTCAATTTGGATTGAATCTAAATCTCATGATACATGGTTTTAAGTGACGTCCGTCGAGCGGCCCTCACAAATCTTCCACCTAACGAACAAGTATTACCTGCTATGCTTGCCCGAACCCGGGACATTGACCCTATGGTCCGCAAACTCGTGTACTCAAACGTTCTGGAACAGCACTGTCTCGTCCGAAATCCAGTACAACCACAAACTAAGACGGAAGACGATTCGGCGGTAGAACAGGTCATGGGCATTACACACCCACGCGCGCTTACTATCGCGTCGCGCGAGCTCATCGTCCGAAATGGCCTTGGAGACAGAGAAGAAACCGTGAAGGCTGCAGCAGAAAAGCTTATTTCGTATTGGGTTGATATCATCCGCCCCGACAATGTCAAGCCGGAAGAGGGACAGAGCGCAGCCGAAGCGGATATCATTGCGTTCCTTGATCTCTTCGACCTGATATCGAACACCACGGCTGAAGATGCTCTGAGCTGT